ATCAAGAAATATCTATTACGTTTTTTTATTTATATTTTTGGAGTTTACCTGTAAGCCATAAATCTCCGTGTTTTGAAGTGCGACAGAATGATTGACATATTAGTTAGTTGTCAAATCTAATGTCAAAAAAAAAAACGTTTGTATGGGAAATAGAAAAGGGCTGTTTTTATGGTTTTCCCAGTAATGAATCAATTTTTTTCAGCTTTTATACCTTCCCTGAACTTTCACGAACATTTCAAGACTAAGATGAGATAAATCCGTTCAGCTGTTCTCGAGTTTTAGCGAGACTAAGGAACAGCAATCCATTTTTATATATATAGAGGAAGATATTAAAAAGATCAAATTGGCTGAATAGATAGCATGTTGGTTAGAATAAAAGAGATAGATCCAATAGCATGTTGGTTCGAATAAAAAAATATATTTAAATGTCACAGGCTTCCGAGATAAAAAAAAATCTAAAGATTTTATTGAATAGAAACAATCATGTCTATATTTTCATTCAGTAACAAATATACTAAAACTAATTCATTATTTTTTACTTAATTAAGCATTTTCTACGAAATGAAATATAAAATTATGTTAGATCATCTTACAAAAGTTATAATAAAATGAAACAAGAAATAATGACGTTTGAAGTATACATGACTTCATTATTAAACGTGTTATTAAGTCTTTAGATCATGGCATATCATTTCCATAAATATATTCCACCATGTTTAAAAACAACATTATAATTGGAACGTCAAATAAAATTATTATATTGTCAAAAAATTCACAAATATTATTTCAGAATATCTTTATGCTAATTATTACTTAATGAAAGTTATTCCTTTTTTCAGGTTAACATAAAAAGCACAGATAAAAAATATACTTATATTTCTTTTATACAGCCAATAAGACTTAATTATATTTTTATTAAAGTTTTTTTAAATAAGTCAAATAAAATATGCGACAGTGTTGCAAGCTATCGCAAGTTATATATTCTCGTTAATATTCCCACGGTGAGGTCTATTTGCATGCCGGACATTATATTATGACAGAAATAAATACCTCGCCTTATTAGACTAAGTTTTTGTTTCATATGTAAATTGAGATATATTTTATGGCTGTATGGACTAAAACCTTTTTGAAATTGTAAAGATGAAGGTTCAGAAAATGAGGTCATATATAATTACTAGATTTCCGCCCGCAGCTTCACCCGCGTGGAGTTCGGTAATATCGCGATTCCATGAGAACTTTTCAAAAGTCTCGGATAAAAACTATCCTATGCTCTTTCTCAAGGTCAACTCTATCTCTGTACCAAATTTCATTTAAATCAGTTCAGTGGATTAGGCGTGAAAGTGTAACAGATAGACAGACAGAGTTACTTTAGCATTTATAATATTAGTAGGGATTTTGAAATAAATTTGTGTTTTATTGAATTTTGAATGGATTGCAACTAATTCTAATGAATTTTCTGTAGATTCACAAATTAGTGAACAGGAATTACTAAAATACTGTCGATATTGTTGGTTGTTTAGAATATGGCCTTCATCTGTGCAAAGACGTGCACAGTATATTTTGCTAGTGACTTGTAGAATGGAGGAGGCACAGAGATTAACTTTTAAATGAAATAAAATTAAACGGCCACGACTGCAGACACAATTAGAAACTTTGTAAGTAGATCTAAAACAACAAAAACTGAATTAAATACAAAACATGGAAAAATATACCGTATAAAGTCAATATTGTTACACATATATCGTTTTGCTTGATAGCATTCGGACAAAGTATGGCGCGAAATGAAGTAAATTGATTAATTTAAGTTCAATGGTACAATAGAAATGTCATTATGTTTGACATTTATTGACAATACACAATAACCTTCACGGATTGTCATGTATGTGTGTCAAATTTATAGACATGAGTGTGTCATTTTTTTTTTGTGAACAATTAATATATTTCTAATACATTTTATAAAAAAAATTGCTTGAAACCCCTCATCTTATAAATGTTGACTGGTTCAAACTCCACGTTCTTACAATGTTAATTAATTTATCTTAAAAACGAATCCAAAGTTTTTGAAACATTTACTAATATTATTTAGTCTGTGATACAGTGTATTTATAATTTTTATGTCGCTTAAGAAAACTTTATGATCTTTTTAGAATAATTGTGTTATAACATATATATTTTTAAAGTAATTTAATTTTAATATCATTATTAGTTATTCAAGATGGCTCCTAATTTATAAACATCAGTGGCAAAGTGACCCGAGATTCATTCGGAAACAGTTTAAAAATATTGGGATTTTTAAAAATATATAAAATCACATTCAAATCTAATTATTATTATCCAAAAAATCTGAATAAGAAGCTAATGGACATATAACACGATAATACACGGTAACAAAAAAAAAGAAACTAAATTGAATACGTAAATATTAAAGGTAAAAAACCTCTTAACAGTTAGGACTTGATATTGAGACAAATATAAAATAAAAATTAGTAATGATCATTCGAGTGGAGAATCCTCCAAAAATCGCCAAAGAAGCGCAAGGTCAATGACATTTTAAAAAAAAACTGAACATCAATAAAATATCTCATATAACGTCATTGGAATGTATTAAAAAAACTACGACGGTTTTTCACCTTTTCATATTTGTATAACATGTCTAACTATTATTCACACAGATTAAAAATAACACCAACAATTTAATAACTAAGATTATATTTACAATTAAAATAAAAAGGGCAATAATATATTTATTTGTTATAATTTCTTATTAATTGCTGTCATAAAAATATTAAATGTTTTATATTTCTCAAAAGAAATGTCCTCTTAGGAAGTAAAAAGTCGCCTTGGCGTTGCGGATGTTCGAACACAGAAAAAACTAAAAAAACCTATGACCTTTAAGTTTAACTTCCATAAACATTGCTCGGACACCATAATTAAGATAATATGATAAATAAAATACATTCCCAATATTAACGAGTTAAAATGTCAAAGTTAAATGACCTTTGGACACATCAAATATGGCGGCATCAATGTTACATATGTTATCAGAAATCATTATGGTTTTTATTGTAAATTCGTTGGTTTTTATTATGTATTTATCGATTTAAATGTAAGTACATAATTTTCATATATTTAGGTTCTTTATATTTTATGTTAGAGGTTTGAATGAAACAAAAACACAATACGAAGTCATAGGAAGCTATTTCAATTTCTCATACAATAAGCTTAAAGAAAATGGTACACAGTATATGAATTACTATTAACGCTTCGTATTTTGTATTTCGATGGAAACTGGGAGTAAGCGATATATTAATTATTTTGCTACCATTTCTAACACTCATATAAATAGCGCACTTTCAAAACCACATGTTTTATTTCGACCCGGTTATATATCGTTACTCCAATTAATTTGCTGTAAATAACATTTCATCTTTGCTAGATAACAAAATAGTTACGTATCATGCGAAAGAAATAGGGAATGAGTTTAACATATTTTTATCATTTTATCTCAGAGCGAGTTTAAAATTATTCTTTACTAGCTGACCCGGCGAACTTCGTACCGTCCTATAATCAAGAAATATCTGTTACCTTTTTATCCGAATGAAGTCAATTTCTAATATTAAGTATAACTGATCCGACAGACAATGTTCTGTTTTCTTAACTGTGATTATTGAATTCTAATTGGTATATTAACAAATCAAAATTATTCCAAAAACAAAGTGTTTATTATTCTAAAGCTTTGTTCCAACTACGCGAATACTGCGAGTGACACATTATTTTCATTAAGAAGTAAAATATTGTAGTTATTTTTTTTTCTAGTAATTTTCGTAGTTTTTTCTTACATAAGAACATTCTAATAGTAACAAATACATCAAAAAAAGAATTAGTGAAATCGGTCCAGTCATTTACGCGTGATGCCATGACCGAGGGAAAAAGGAATTCATTTGGAAGGTTTGGATGTAAAAGAAATAAAAATCATTCCTGCTCCATGTCAACAAATGACGAAATGTTATAATTTTGATTCTATTATTTCTGAGTTTATATTATTCCAAGATTTTCCTTCTCCTAAGAGTCTTTATTGTATTTTTTTTTATGTGTAATAAAAATTACTAAAATAATACCAAATTAAAATAGACTTAAAACAATTTCAATAATACCCAATCATCTTAATTATACTCGCCAATTGATCGGTTTTTATTGAGTATTTGTTTTTACTATTTTAAGGTGAAAGTATAATATTACGTTTATTCTATATAGAGTATTTAATGAAAAGACTTTTACCATTACTTAATTTTACAAACCTACAATAGTTTTACCTAATTTTGGTTTAAAGAATTGGAAAAGTATTAATAATGGGTTATACGAAATTTTACAATGAAATCACGCCATCTAGTGATCGATTGCAAAACTTTTGTCGCCATCTATTTACTATTCCGATAATTATGACAGAAAAAGTGACATCTCGTTGCAAAATAAAAAAGCTATTAACTACTTTATCTATAACAGGTGGCGCTTTTGATAAAGAATAAATATAATTTTTTACTTTTTTGTGTTAAAACGAATAATTACATATAGGAATTAAGTATTTATGCTTTCTGTACGTGACTATAATAAAAATCAGAATCCAATTCATATTTTTATTAATTATTCCAGCAAAAGCTGATTAATAGGTGAACATGGTAAAAAAAGATAAAACTATATTTATTTAAAAGATCTTGCATTCAATAATATATTTTTTTTAAATATCTTTATCATATATCTCAACGTTAAACAAAATGACGAAATAGTGAGTTACAACGTATATATGTATATATCATCAAATATTAAATATTGTATAAGTGTCGAAAATTGGGGTAATATTATTTAAGATGCCCTTAAAGCAATTGCATTAAAATTGCAGTCTCAAAATTTTCTTTATAGTCTGTCGGAACTACGCAACAGGAATCAGGATCTGACGTAACCGCTAAGATATAATCCCTTAGCGTATTTTTCGCAATTTCTCACTATCTCGTGGCGCCTTTTCCTCGTGCTGTCATTGGCGGATACGACGTGACGTCATCGCGCCCACGCGTCTTGCGTGACGTAAACCGATCGATGAGTATCTCTGTCCTTGTCTCACGTACGTATCCCGACTGCCGTCTGTCCTTCTCTAACGGGAATGCTTCGAAATTCAAATCCGTGGGCGTCCTCATGCGTACCGATGTCAATATAATAGACATGCCGGGATATTTACTGTGTGGTTTATTTTTAAAAAGCTGATAGTGCATTGATTTCATTACAAGTTCTTTGTTTGATTTATTGTATGTTAAAATTAAACAATAAAGTCACTGATCATTATGACTTTTACGAACGGTCCTGTTAATAAGACGGAATACCGATATATTCATTAAATATGTACCAAAATGTGGAACTTGTGTAAGTACAAAGCAATTTGAACATTTTGAAGACTTCAACATGAAGTAATAATTACGCAATTCTTACAACATAATTTCATTAGATTATTTATTTACTATAATGTATAATTATTAATTATTACATTTTTATAAGAAATATAAACAATTTAACAAATAAGTTCAACATTAATTCGCGAACCATAAAAGATATAGTAAATGGTTGAATGTGTTCCTAGAAATATCGCTAGTATCAATGCGTCATTGTCTTTCTGAGGAAGTTAGCCGTTAATGAATATTAGTCATGATTTGACCGTTTTTACCTAATTCTAGAACAATTATCTTATATCAAGAAAATTAATAAAAAAGCATTATAGATACGTATTGTTGGTATATATTTTTATATTATGAATGTCGTAATATATTTTATTTGTTGGCAAGTTAACATCCAGTGACCTTCAGCCGGTCTTGTAGGAGTCATTATTTTTCTGTCTGGCTCGTGTCTGAACACAGCGGCGCCTGAGTGTCTGTCATCAGATCTGCAGTGGCTTTAAACGTTATATACGTATGGATGTGTGTGCGTGTGTGTATGTGTGTGTGTGTGTGTGTGAGTGTTTCGTTGCTTTAAAGGAGTTTTTATAATGTGTGTATGTGTGCGTGTATATGTGTGTTTCTTTGTATTACGAGTGTTTATTATTAAGCATTACATATTTATATATAGGGTGTATGTACGAGTGTGTGGATGTATGTGTGTGTGTTATGTTGTTTTACGAGAGTATGTAATCTTTGTCTTTAGTATTATTTTTTATTGATTAATTAAAAAAAAATAGTGGTGCCTTATTTTATTAAATATTTGTTCTTCCATATTATTAGGTATTTTTTTATATATCATTTCATTAGTGAAGTCATCTTAATTTTGAAAATAAATTACAATGAGACGATTAAAATTTTTAATAACTTTATTTTTAGAATAATATTGGAATAAATTGAGGTCAGAAAAAATATATGAACATGTAAGTAAAATATGATTATTTTTTCAATTTCGTATATTTAGACTTAGAATATTTTGTAAATTAAATTCAATGATATGTTTAAAATTCATCAGCAAAAATAAAAATAAGAGAAATATTTTATAATGCAGATATTCACTATAAGGTTTACGAAAATATTTGGAAGAACCTTAAATATTACCAAACCATCGACTTCTCAAGGTCGTTACAATACTTCCAATGTAACATATGCAATTAAAAATCGGTAAATTTTGCTTTATTTTCTTAATAACTGAAAAAAAATAGTTTTTTAAATTATTGATAACTTTATATACTTAATGAGGAAATTAAATTCCCTTTAATTATTTAATTTATTTCTATTTCGGAAACAAGTTTATTTCGGAACCTTGATTTTACCTTCGTCGTTATAAAAGTAAAAGACATTGAATGGAAATCAATTATTTATTGAATGCTAAATTTAAGTGATTGTGTAGTGCCGTGACGTCATACAACATGTACAAACAAAACAACTTTATATAATATAAGAATTGCATTACAATAATATAATACAATTTAATTAAATATATTAATAATAATTAATTAATTAAATTTCAAATTATATGAGATAATAAAAAAAAAATAATGCAAATTATTTTAATATAATTTCTATATTATAATTAAATTCTATGATATAATAATAATAATTACAGTTTAATAATAAGATTATTATAGAAGTCGTAGCGTCTACGACTGCGTAGCGGATCTACGTCGTAGACGGCCGTAGCGCTACGATCTTACATTGACATTACCGCGTTATAAATAGACGATTCCCGTTTTCGTGGTAATCACGATACCAGTAATATATTACTAATTCACAATTACTATGAACTATGAAATTTTTTATAATCTTTTTTTTTAATAATTCTAATATGTTAGTTGTTTTAATGTGTTTTATTATGTTATTAATATAATAATACATGCGCGTAGGTGTATTTTGGCGGGTTCGTACTGCGCATGCGCTAATGTCAGCCATCCGCAGTTCTATTCCATTCTTCAGTTTGGAACCAACCTCCGTGTGGAAACAGCGTCTGTCTGTTCCAAAAATCGTTCCGTTTACAAAAAACCTATTCCCACAAACGCGATTTGTAATAAAACATCGAATTTAATACATTATCTTGTGAAGGAGTTGATTGTATTCAAATCTAAGGTATAATTATGGTTATGTATATATAGTGTTTAGATATTTTTGTGAATGGATAAGATTTTTTTTTTTTTGGTCGCTTTTAAAATGGTGGATGCGCGTTGAAGGCGCACGGTGTGTGGTAGTGCGCGTGTGCGTGATCGAACGAATGAATGAGTGACGTGTATGTTTATAACCATTATAAGATGTCGATACGGTCAATGGGATATATGTATGAGATTATAATACGGTATTACCGTAAATGTATCGACGGATATAATTACGATTATAATACGGTTCGATTATTACGGTTATATTAAATAATATTTTTTTATTATTGTAATAAATTCTATAATAATTAATATTTTGGTGATCATAGTAATTGTAATTATGTAACAATTCTATACTTTTATAATATATTATATATACTAAGGATATAATAAAATTTTAATTCGATTTAATAATATATTAAATTTACAATAATAGATATAAAGAAACTCAAAGAGACAATCAGTTGTATTATCCCGATAGTTAACTGGTAAGTTATTTATAAACTGATCGATGGCCGGAATTTATTCGTATTATTCGTGTTAGAACATAGAACCTTTTAATATTTATTGGATAAATAAATGAACAAAAAACTTTTTTTTGGATAATCCTGCTGTTTTTGGGATCACATAATTGATTTATATTCTATATATATAGTTTATTTATAATAAAGCTTGTAAGTTAAATTCATAACCGACTAACCCATTATACGTATTTAACGAAATTAAATATATCTAAAAGATAAAAGATATTTAAATTACATCTATCTTTTCCAATTTATTAAAATTAAATTGAATTAATTTTGAAACTAAATGAAAATGATAAATATTCTTCTATCAGTTCCTGAGCAATTTAAAAAATTTTCTACCTTAATAGTTTAAATTGTAATATTCCGAAACATTTTGACCGTTTGTTTTATATTAAATATAGTTACGAGTTATATGTAAGGTACTTATGTTAAAATGCTTTCAATTAAAAGAATTTTTAATCAAAAAACGAATTAAGTATGAATGAGTCTTTAAATAGGAGTGTAAGTTGAAGTGAGACAGGTGATCCATGATAATAATTTTGATTTAATTACAATTTAATTTATGTGTATTTATTCCATCGTATAACCAAAAAAATAATAAATCATTTTTAATATATTAAATCTCTTTGATCATAAAAAATTCGTTAATATTTTTTATATAATATGAATTTTATTTTTAGATTTAAATCTCAATAAATTCCAATGATGGTGCATCGAGTGAAGAATTAACGGATCAACCGAATCCGGTTCACCGATGAAAACTCAGGAAAAACCAATTTTTATTGAGCTATGACAACAGAGACACACAGACAAGCTGGCAGACGAATATGATAATGGTATGTTTTAATATAAAATACATACATTACAATGAACACGTAAAAATTATGTATTAGTTGGAAATAATAGATTTTCATTTAAATGTAAAAAAATATTTTTTTTAAATGAATGAATACTATTAAATATGTAATTCCAACAAACACGTAAAATTCATATATTAAATAGAAATATCAAAAATTTTATTACGAAAATAGAAAAAAATATTAAAATAATTAATTCTTTTAAATATCCACTTTATTGCAAACAATACAATATATGCCTAGTCTCTTCAAAATATTGAACTGTATGTATGTTTTTAACATAAAAGGTTCTAAACATAGCAATAACGTCTTTATCTGACCTCAGCTAATATTAATGTTAAGCTCCCAATTACAATACATTTATAGAAATATTGTGCTATTAGGTATAAACATAAAAAATACCTAAAACACTAACTAGGTCAATATATAACAAATAAGGATTTTTCCTTTTAAGGACGAAAAATTCGTACAAAAATAGAAAATTTTATAATCTACTATAAAATAGTTTGTTTTTATGAACTGAAAATATTTTACTTTTATAAGGCGTAATCCAAAATATATATTTATATTATATATATAAAATTTCCTTTATATATAAATATAGAATTCTTTGTCCTATCCTTCAAACTCATGGCTATATTTATAAAAGGCACCTTATTTTCTAGTCTATAAGGTTCTATTTATATATGCTATATATAATTTGAGCACTAACTATTACGTCACTGACACGTCACGTGTAGGTTCACATGGAGTGACGTACACGTGGCTATAATTACGGACACACACACACACACACACACATACATATTAGTTTTTAACGTAATCAGTAATTTTAATGTTTTTTTTAAACCCAGTCTCAAATATTACGTATTTCTGAAATGTCCTATACTCAATAAATATATTGCCTTTTAATTTTCACACATACATACATACATGCATATATTTGTCTCTTTGAATATATTTTTTATTGAGGTAAAAATATTTTTCCCTTATTCCCTTTAAGCTATAACACCTTATATAGATTCTATTTTAGAACATCCTAACGTCTATACTAAGCTTCATATACAATTAATTAAAAAAAAAATATTTATTACTTCTCTACATATTTCAATATAATATTAATATCAAAATTTCTTCAAACATAATGATATCTAAAACTCGCGAGTATTCATTTAAATAAAACTGATATTTTCGGATGTACTACATACGCGATTTTTATTAATTTA